TATGATTGAGACAAGGCTTAGATGATGATGATGATCATGAGAAGGCCATATATATTGTTAGCGGATAATGAAAAGAGAACACCATGGAATACCCTCTTTCAAGTAGTTTTTTTTTTTTAAATGATGACAGTGGCCATTGAAATTGGACTCTTTCACCCATGGTTTTCAAAACCAGACCGGACCGGACGATCGGACTGGAAAAACCAGGAATCAGTCAAGTGATTGATTCCGGTTTTCCCCAAAACCTGATTTTCCTTAAAAACTGTTGATTTTGGTCAGCAAACCGCTGACCCGGGCGATTAACCATCCGAACCATTCGAACGGTTTTGATCAGTTTTCATTTTTTTTATTTTTTTTGTTAGAACGGGCCGACCGTTTGATACTGTTCAACCCTGTAATCAGACCCCTGACCGATTTAGTCTCCGAATCAGTTTTAAAAACCATGCTTTCACCTCCTTTTCAGATGCTCTGACACTAGTATTTGCACCAATATACTTGATTAAGTTAATACATAGTGGGACTCCTTTTCTTCTCAACATATACCATATTATCCTCCTTCAGTCTACTGTATATTTTTCTCTAAATCAAACGATTATCATGTAAGGATTGCTCTTTTTCTATCCAGTTCCTTAATTAACATTTTAGTATAAAAAATGGTTGCAAATTAATTTTCTAATACACTTGTTTCTTAGGGCTGTTTAATTAATAACGGATGAAGTTGAACTGAATGACTTATTGCTTTGTCTTTCGGTGAATAAATTCCACCTTGAATTAGATGAAGTGACGTCTTCGTGGGGCTATGACAATACATCAAAAGCTATAATTCTCATTTTATTAAACAAAAAACAAAAGAAAGCTAGCCTTGCGCTATGACATTGTTGTAGGCTTCTAGCAAAAGTGAACTCTTATTTTTTATGTCCATGTTGGATGCTAAATTCTATTTCCTTGTATAACTTCGTCCATCTTTTTCCCATCAATTGATATGTTGAATAATGTAAGCATCTAAGGTGAAGAAAATTCATAAACATGTCATATTAGATTCACTGTATGGTATTTGCTTTGGTCATGTGCAATGTTTTAAAGCCGTCTCAGATAGGGGTGTCAATGGTATTTGAAAATTCGATTTCAAATTTAAGATTCGACAAGCGAATCGAATTCGAATATCAAATATCTAATCGGTTGAATTCAGATATTCTATTCATATCGAATAGTTAATTGGAATCGAATTCGGATATGACTTGATTCGATTCGATAAATATCCGAATTTGATCAGTCATTTAATTCTTATATATAATATATAAAATATTTAAATATTTTATATAATTTATATATATAATATTTAAATATTTTATATAATTTATATATATAATATTTAAATTATATAAATAATTTATATACTTTATATAAATAAAATATTTATTAATTATCTAAAATAATTAATTAGTCAAATTCAAATGGAATAGAATTCAAATATTACTTGATTGGCTGATTCGATTCAAATTCGATCCATTTACACCCTAGTCCCATATCAACAGATTTTTTTTTGCAATCTAAAAGTTCATAGACTATTTAGATTCAGTCATAACCGGGTCATCAGTTCAACTGGCAACAAAGGGTTAAAACGTTGACCAGTTGGGCTTGTGATTGTGAAAAACCTTTACTTATTGCTCATTTTTGCACTATCTTAGTGAGAGACCTCAGATCTCTCATTTTGGGATTTGAAAATTGAAATTGCAGTGCTCCCCTTATCGTGCTACAAAATAAACACCGGAAAATGGCATCTAATGAAAATACTCCCTTCCTCATCTGTTTTTTTTTTTTATTGTTTATCAAATTAGAGTAAGACTATTTTCCCTTTTTTCATTTAAAAAGACGTCAAATCACTAAACCTTATTTATCAACTAAAAATGATATAATCAAGGTTCAAAGCATTGCAAATACAGTATGGAAGGATGATAGGAAGGCCCTGTTCACTTTTTGGTAAATTACTTACCCGGGTAAGCCTTTCCTGAAAAATACTTATCCGAGTAAATGCATTTACTCACGTTCTTTTATTTCCCATGCAAACAAGACAATGATCATTTTAGCCATAAAAATCCATTATTACAAGGGGTATTTTTGTCCCATTTAAGTATTGGCATCTTTACCCCAAGGTGGAAAAGTTATTTACCCACCTAGGAAATGGGTATCACTTAGGTAAGTGATACCCAAGAAAATAAACTTTCCCTAGTCCCCACATAAATCTGAAAAAAGAACATGGGATTTTTGGTCAATGGGAATCAAAATCTCATTGACCAACTTTCTCCCATCTCAAAATCCAGAAACCCTAAGAGACATATTGGAAATAGGCATCATAGAAAAATGGAGATACACATGAATACATATAGATATGATAGGGAAACTCACATAATTCCCAAAAATACATCAATAAAATTATCTCATACAAAAGGCATCTTTAATAGTTTATATTAAAGGTTCAAAATATTAAAGTTTTAGAGAGTTTTAGTGGGGAAGTCTACAGGTTTAATCATTAGACCCATCCTATTTTACCTACCCTGAAAACCTCATTATTTTTTTACTATAGAGCAAGCAACTGGATACTTTGAGCCTTGGTTTATGTGAAGTGTTAACTACCAGAATAATTATTAATTTCAATGATCAATTAACCATTTTATTTCTTTAAATTTTTTTTGTTGATATAATATTAAGAAGAAAAAAAATGATAAAAATAGCTTAGAAAGTTGGAACATAAGCCACACATCACTTCTAACAAAATTTGAAAATATAGTTTGGTAAAATCTCTCTTTTATCTGGGTGATTTTTAACAGCATTAATTGATAGGATAATTCAAATTAATTTAAAATAAGCAAGTGTGAATTGGTTTATATCAATTGTAATCCAATTATAATGGTTGAACAGGGGTAACAGTTTGAGTACTTGTTTAAACAAATGAGCGTGGTTAATAATTGTTTAGTATGAGTTTGTAATGGTTTGCACTACCTAAATATCAGTTTGTAGAAGTATGATTTTATTAGTGTAGCGACTAAAATATGAGTCTATACAGTTGAATACGGGTTGGAAATGGTTTGTAAAAGTTGAAAGTTGTTTTGTAATTATTTGTAACAGTTGAGTATCGGTCTGTGATGATTAAATTTCAACTGGTACCGGAATATGCATATCCATACAAACATAATACGAATAAAAAGGGTGGAATTTTTTAAAAATTAGTAGTTTCCTAGTATGCCACATCGATCTCTAAAAATCCATGCATATATCAGACCATATATTGACACTTGAACTTCTGCTTAAACAATACTATAATATTTAAGATAAATTACAAAGACCCCCCTGTAATATGAGGTATGTGACAAAGACCCTCCTGTACTTTGTTTTGCGACAAAGACCTCCCTATACTATGACCATGAGACAAAGACCCCTTTTTGTTAGCCTTCCGTTGAAATCTGCCGTTATAATGTTTTTTAATCCCCACATTACCCTTGTAATAATTATTTGAACAATTGGAAGAAAAACACTATTCATCTTCTCCAACCTCACAATACACGAACAGCAATGACAACAAACTTCCGTTGAAGTCCTCCCTCACTTTCTCTCCCCCTATCTCTCTTCTTCCCCTTCCCCTTTCTTCTTTGAAAATTTCTCTGTTTTCCATTCCTTGCAGATGGAGAAAAATCGGACTGGGCACACCAAAACAAAATTTCTAGGTGAACATCGATATCGGAAGCAGCTTGAGTTGGGTTTGATGCCAACCCTGTACTAACTGCTCCAAAATTATAGTTCATCTGATGATTATATAGAGTTACAACAACAACAACCATGATCTGAGTTCATTATGATACTAACCCATCTTTGATTTGTGACTATGAGAGGAGGAGCCAAACATTCACAAATTTATAAAAGGTTTTGGCTGATTGGCTCGTGGCTGTGACTCCAAGCGACGGGCGGTAGTTGGATTGTTTGAAAGATTCTTTGGCTCTCATCTTCTCCTCACCAATCACCCCTTTACACACTCCATGATTACTATGTCTATGTAAGTGAAAAAAGAATCACGAGAGAAAGAGAGAGAATATATATGTATTGTCTGAACATGACAACTGATCCATCCATTCAATTTCCAAGTGGCCCTTAAAAACTTTACCTCCATTAATACCCATCTCCGCACCTTGCTTTATTCTTCCCTCCCTGAGTCCCAACATAGCCGAATAACCATGCTAGCGAAAGAAACTGGATTCTTGTAATTAATCTATCATCATTGCTGTTTGGTATAGACTGAGCTTGATTGGAACAATACTAGACGAACGAACATGGCTAGTGTAGGAGGATGGATCAGAGAGGAGGAGAAGGCATTCGAGACTGCAATTGCGATGCACTGGGCTGCTGACGACTCAAAAGACCGATGGGAGAAGATTGCTTCCTTGGTTCCAAGTAAGATTGTAACTGAACTGAAGAAACATTACGAGGTTTTGGTCGAGGATGTAGATGCAAATGAGTCGGGCCAAATCCCGATTCCCACTTACATCAAGGAGGAGGTTGCTGATGAGAGGTTGAACTGTAATTTTGGAACTGGGTTTTCTGGGTTGGGCACTGATTCAGGCGGGGTTGGCATTGGACTCAACTCAGGTGGGGTTAAATAGGTTTTAAGAGGAAAAGGGCAAAAATAAGAAAATAGAAAAAATTTAGTGGGGTATTTTGGTAATTTAACGCATTTCATCATTTGACTTAACGGTCAAGGGGGTCTTTGTCTCATGGTCATAGTACAGGGGGGTCTTTGTAGCAAAACAAAGTACAAGGGGGTCTTTGTCACATACCCCATAGTACAGGGGGGGTCTTTGTAATTTACCCTAATATTTATTATACACAATAGTAGAAACCATTATATTAAGTATTATATATTATAAATATATGCTAAGATGGATGAGTGGTAAAACTAGAAGGGCTAGGGGCAGGCCAAAAAGAACATGTTTTGAACTAGTAAGAATAGATTTAAGCTCTAATACTCTAACAAAGGATATGGCATTAAACCAAATGGAATGACAAAACAGGATTCGTGAAGCCAGGGCCCAAGCAGCGCTGCAAGAGGCTGTATGGCAATTTGACTATATACAATATGTTTCAATATTTTACAAAGGCATCTTGCCATTCCATCCCAAAAGGCACCCAAAAACAAAGAAAAAAAAAACCTTTTCATCCACACAATCAGTCATCATCAGACAAGCAAACAACATCAGTTGTGCAGGAGCTAGCTGCAGCTCCCTGTAACCCACTGGCTGTCACAAGTGTAGATGTGTCTGGCATGTCCATGGTTGGATTTGATTGTAGATGAGTCTGCAACATTTGTGGTTGACTTGTAAAATGGCTGTTGTCAATGTCCATCAGAAGATCAAGAGAAGACATGGAAGTATTATGGAAAATCGGCAATGCACCCGCAATTTCCATCTGATGACTTTCTCTTGTCAACAATGGGTTGGTAAGCAGATGAGGAGCAAATAGATGCTGCACTGAATATGTGGTAGCAGGATTACTAAGGGACTGCTGACTGGGCACTGTACAAGGACCAGGCATAGAACTGGGTGCTGGAGTAGTGGCGGTATTACCAAGGAAATTCTGAGTCGGCATTAAATGGGGAATGGAAGGGGGATTGGGTACCGACATGGATGTTACTGGTCTAAAGGTTTGGAGGTGTGTGGCCAGGGCTTGTGGTTCAGTACCAACCTGGAGGTTTCCTGTGGAAGGGACAACGGGGTTGAACTGTGATCTAACAGGACTACTAGAGAAAAGTTCCCAAAAATGATGGACTACCTGCAGGGGTGAGGATGCAGATGGACCAGCATCAGTGGGAGGTTTCTGCACCTGCTGCAAACCTGGAAGCTGAAGTAACTGCTGAAACAAACTGGAATACACACCTGAAACTGAAAGGAAATTAAGGGTCACAAATTCCATGGCACATATATGCTGAATTATGCTCACATACTAAACCAATCTTTGAAAATCTGGATGCATGAAGCAAGGCACCAGAAGCTTTAAATGATAGTAGCATAAGCCTCAAGGCCTGGGCCGAGGCTTTCATGGGTAACAGGTAACTGATTTTAAAGAAAAACATCAAACAAATATAGAAGTATAGAAGCATGCATAAGAGAAGTATATTTTTATGTAATAAAGAAAGATATGAATGAATAGATAATGACATAAACAAAGGATTTGAGAATATTATGAGCTTTAGAGAATACCATCATATTCTTAAAAATCATTTAATAACAGGAACTGATTTGGGCACATCCGTAGTGAATTACAAAGGCCAATTTTGTTAATGATAAAGGATAAAACACAAACAAAAGGCATCTCTAGGTGTGAAGAATGTACTTTATAATTAAAGCCTTTAAAAAGTTGTGCTAGAGTTCATCAATGTGAGAATTAATAAATTTGTGTACTTTCATGCTGAGCTAAATAACTCTGCAAGTAGTACACCTTGGTGTAGCATCCATTAAATTGATATTAAAATATGAAATCAAGTTCCAGTAAATTGATATTAAAATATAGGAATGAATACTTAAAGCACCCCTCAACTTTGTGACAAATACTAAAACTTGCTCTGAGCTTTATGAAATGACCGACTTCCCTTGCCAGCTGATGTGGCAGGGCAGAAAGACCTTAATTTGCCATGAATCTCCATTGCTTGTGAGAGCATATAATATATGAAAAGAATGTGCATGGTTGCAGGATTTCAAGCCCACCACTTAACCTTCAGGTTCCAAGATCAGACTAGTCCAACAATGAGACCATTTGAACATTCCAATCCTTTATAAAGACCTCTACCCTTAAGAATGGGTAAAATGAAACAGACCAGATACAAACCAGAAAATTGGTCACCCCCGAGATGAAACTTTGAATCAAAATATGCAAAAAAACTCTTTTTTTTTTTGATAAATAATATGCAAAAACTCTTTGAAGGTATAGTTGTTTCTGATGTTCGGAAGCAGCTAATTGCAATGAGTGATATGTATGAATTATGAAAGGCAGGTAACCACAACCAGAGATAATCTCAGTAAGTACATAGAGGGCTCTACAGAACAAATCATGGTTCAGTTTCTTGCCATTATTAGTCAAATGATGATTTTGTAGGCGATTTTAGATCTAACTTACAAGATTCTAGAGGAAATGAAGATGAAGAAAGAACTGAATTGAATTGGACTAGTTTTACACTGATGATGAACTGAAAGCTACAAGCAACAAAGAAAAATCAACCAAATTGGACCAAATTTAAGATGATTGCAAGGGCATCCAATGGGATGCCATTAACAAACATGTGTCTCTCTAACAGGAGATTTTGAAGGATTAGAGTAAACAACCAAAAGAGATTTTAGTGTTTGTCAGAAAAGTAAGGGGGTTCAACTTGAAGTAATGTAATTGAGAAAAAAAAAAGAGATTGTGGGTTTTATATGCTTGAAAATGTTTTATATATTTGATTTTATTTTTAAATTCTCATTTTTTTATCGATAACAACAGATTTCATTAAATAGGAATAAGATTACAAATTAGAGGAGCTAAAGTATCTTAACTCCCCAAAAAAGTGGGCAGGCACCCAAAAAGGAAAGAACAATTACAACTGAGCCCAGAAACCAGAATCCCTATTCACCCCTTGTCTAGCTAATCCATCAGCAAAGGAGTTTGCATTTCTCTTTACCCAAGTACACTGAACTTCCATGTTCTTGATCAGACATTTGAATTTTCTCTTTTCATTGCTGTAGCTCCAAAGCTTAGAGGTGTCCTCATTTAGCCAGTTCACTTCAACCTCAGAATCTCCTTCTATAAACAGATTCTTGACATTTATGTCTTTAGCCCTTTGTACCCCTTCCAAAGCTGCAAAAACCTCGGCCCTCAAAGAGTCTCCCACTCCAATTGGACTAGAGAACATAGCTATTACATTCCCCTTCTCATCTCTTAGCACCCCCCCCCAATACCCAAAGGTCCTGGATTCCTCATGCTGCTGCAGTGCTGCCATCAAAATTTAGTTTGACAAAACCAAGAGGTGGAGGGTTCCAGGTGGGATTCAAGGTCTTCTTAACTGAGGCTGAACTTGCAATTTCTTTCCATTTTCTTAACATACCATCCATTGAATAATCTGTGAACAAGTCCATTGTTTTCAACCAATGTATTACCCTTATGTGGATCACTTCTAGCATAGTTTCCAACCCCCTCTCCTTTTCTGAAAAAATCCTGGAGTTTCTTTCTTCCCATATAGTCCAACAAACAGCAGCCCTCACACATCTCCACATGATCCTTGACCATTTTGTTGGGCAGTTGAAAGAAGAAGAATTAAACAAGCTTTGCACGTTCATTGGGGAAATCCACCTGCACCCAAACAAAGAAGCAAACCATTCCCAAATATTTTTTGTCAAATCACAGGATATTAGTAAGTGGTAACCAAACTCACCAGCAGATTTACAAAGAACATAGCAGTGAGGAGATAAACAGCTATTGGGTCTTTTTCTTTGAAGCACATCACCTGTGTTGATTCTTTCCAGGAAATCTTCCCAACAGAAACACCCAACCTTCGGAGGTATAGGTTGACACCACACTTCTTTGGCGGGGAATGACAAGCCAAAAGGAATTTCTGGTTGTATTAGGGCTTTAAAGAAGGAGGCACAAGTAAAGGAACCTGAAGGAGACAAAGTCCAAATCCTGCTATCTATTTTTGTAGGCTCATCAAGAATGGACATGAGAGTTAAGGTACTATCCAATTTTGTATCCCTGAGAGCTCTTCTCAAACCCAAGTTCCAATCAAACCCGGAAGTTGAGTTCGAGGGAACAAGGAAAGTGGCAACTGGTTCATTTTTGAAGGTGGAGATAGAAAAGAGGGCCAGAGATTGGTCTTTTCAAAGGAGAATCCCCAACCCAAACATGTTCCCGAAATTTAATGAGATTACCTAAGTGCAAGTCATACCTGATCCAAGGAGAAAATAAAGGCAAAATAGCTTGGATTGCTTTCCAAGGTGATGCTCCTGTAGTCATAGCTAGAATCCTAGAGTCCCATCCATTCTCCGCAAGCCCGTGAATACTACATATTATCTTAACCCACAGTTTTTCCTTTTCCAATGAAAATCTCCACAACCATTTCCCTAGTATAGCCAAATTTCTCTTCCTTATATTCCCAATGCCTAGATCTCCATCCTGCTTGCTCCTACACACCACCTCCCACCTAACCCTATGGTCCTTTTTCTCCTCCCCTGGCTCCCAAAGGAAATCTCCCATTAGCTTTTCCAACTTTCTAGCCACCCCTACAGGCACCTTAAAGACCGATAGGTAATAAATGGGCAGGTTAGCTAAAGTAGACCTAATTACGGTGATTCTTCCTCCAAGAGATAGATAATTTTTCTTCCAAGATGCAAGTCTCTTTTCAAACCTCTCCACAACTGGAGTCCAAAAGATTCCTTTTTGAGGATTATCTTCTATAGGAAGACCAAGGTAATTTAGAAGCCAAGTCGACACTACACATTCCAAAATGTTTGCACATGCAAGGATCTCAATTTCCCCCATATTCACACCTACAACACAACTTTTTTCAAAGTTCACTTTCAGATTTGACATTTGCTCAAAAAGTTGTATTGTAAGTTTCAAATTCCTAATGGAATTCAAGTCCCCTCCTTCATAGAAGAAAATCCTATCATCTGCAAACTGCAAATGTGTAAGTGGTATGTTCTCCTTGCCAACTATCCACCCTTTGATTAGACTCCTAGAATCTGCTCTAGAGATCAGTCTCCCTAAGACTTCAGCAACCAAGGTGAACAAGAAAGGAGAAAGAAGGTCTCCTTGCCTAATTCCCCTCAATGCCGGAAAGAAGTCCACCACCGTTCCATTCACCAAAATTGAGTAGTGGCAAGTCCTAATACACCCCAACACCCATCTGCACCATCTTTCTCCAAACCCAAAGTTGATCATCACCTCCAGCAGAAGGGACCAATCTACCAAATCATAAGCTTTTTTCCAAATCTAACTTGCAAACCACACCCTTTTTCTTTGATTTCTTGAAACCCACCACACTCTCATTTTCTATAAGTATTTGATCAGTTATCTACCTTTCCCTCACAAAAGCTCCTTGGTTATTTGATACAATGGTATGGAGCACCTATCTAATCCTAAGGGACAACACCTTCACAATAATCTTATATAGACTATTTACTAGACTGATTGGTCTATAGTCCTTTGGGTGGGTTGCTTCTCTCTTCTTGGGAACCAAAGCAATGAAGGTGGAATTCAACCCGGGTTAATCACTCCTTTTCTATGGAACTCATCAAAAACCAGCATTAAATCCTCTTTCAATATCTCCCAACAATCTTAATAAAATGCCATCGTAAAACCATCTAGACCTGGTGCCTTTGACCTATCCATAGAAAATACTGCCTCCTTTACTTCCTCAACATCAAATTTTCTCTCCAACCACTCCCTATCTTCTAGATTTAGATTGGCCATTTCGTCCCCTCAATCCACACCCTATCACTTAAAGGTTTTCTAAAGATAGATTTGAAATGGTTTGCAAAGTGTCCAATTTAAGAAGTGATTTACATAAATACACCAATTTGAACATAAAACAATAATGTACTTTATTCATTTACTGATAAATGTTTGTGTACATCAATCTGATTGGAGCTAAGGGCATACACTATCTAACACAGTTGTGCATTACTGGGCCCAGCTAACTTACCAGGGTATCCCCAACACAACGTCAACTCCCAAGAATTTCAGTGGATAAAGGTCCACCTTAAAGACATTCCCCTAAATCTTAACCCCAATGCAGCCATACATACTATCACAAGCAATCCGGTTCCTATCTGCTACATGAACCAAGAATGGGGTAGTGGGTTGAATGGCTAGGCCCAATTTCTTGTTTAGGTCAATGGTGATAAAAGTGAAAGTGCTCCCACTGTCAATTAGTATAGAGTGTTCCCAACCCATTATGAAGCCTAATGCATGCACGGTTTGGGGCGAGGGAAGTCCTATTAGAGCTTGCAAGGAAATTTCCTAGTATCCCATTTCTTTGTCTTCTAGTGGTCTATCCACTTCTACAGCGGTTGGGTCAATTCCGTTTCCGACTCCTCCACTTGTAAGAGGCAAAGTTCAAAGTATCGATAGACCTCTATGTATCGGCAAAGGTGTATTGGTACTTAAAAAACCATTCACTTTTATATTTTTTTTAGTTTATTTTCAAATTTTGGTTTTTATATATTTTTATATGTATTTTATTAAATAATTAGGGTTCCCGAAAACACCTGTTAACAAATGTTTCAGAACCCAAAAGATACGATATGAGACACCCGATACGATGTAACATATCGATACTTTGAACCTAGGAAAGAGGTTAAGTCTGTTAGGCCTTGGACCAGCGACCCAATGCAAATTTCTCATCACAATTATAACACAGGTCCTCCCGTTAGGCCTACATTCCAGTCCAAGAGAGCCACTTAAAGTTTTGAGGGCCCATAATTTAACAATGGGCATAGCACTCAACAATGCATAACGGTGGAAATATGATTAATTTCGGAAAACAAGTTCCACTAAAAACTATCCACCTTAGGTTATTAGAATTTATGCCATAGTCATAGTTTTCAAGGAGCCAATGCAATGCTAGGTGACAGGGGGGGCACCTTGTTGCCTAGGCAATGGGTTTTTTTCAAGTAAAAAACATAGATCCTAGGGTAGTTCCCTAGGTACCATAACCATATTTCCTTAATAATTATTCATAATTTTCATAAGAAAAGTATAAAGTTCATGTTAAGTATAGAAAATCAACATATTCATGAGAGGAAATAAGAAAGAAAAGAAATTTAAAAAAAAATATAAGGACTGAACCCTTATTTTTGTTCAGGTTTTGAAATCTACGAGGCCTCGAGGGTTCAATACAGCATTAGCAATGTTTGTGTTGATGAAACCCTAACAAATAAGAAACTAATAAAAGGAAATTAGTATACAAAAACACAAGATGAATAATTTAGTTTAATAATGTTTATTTTATAATTATAATCTCAAAAAATAAAGAATAAAAAAGTATTTTATAATACAAAGTATAAAACTGCTTGGCAATTAGGCGAGGTTAGCCTCCAAGAGCGCCTTGTCACCTAGGTGTCACCTTGACAACTATGGCCATAGTTTTAGGGTTTCCATCCTAAATCCATAAACCTAGTGATTCAACTTGTACTGAGCAAGCTAAATACAACCCCAGTAGCTCATGAACAAACAGGTTCTGTCATTATGTGATGTGAAGAGATAGACCCCTCAGAATATCTTCCCCAGATATACCAACTAGTGGTCAGCAAAGAAACAGTAACCAGAGTTTGTTACAAATTTAATGCAGTTACCTCATATATACTGTAACCAGAAAAGAAATGAAAATGATAGGACCAATACATTCCTCATTGGTAAAAGGCAAGATAGAAGGGTGGCAAAGTTAGAAACAAACAGTCAGTTTCTGTTAAAATCTTTGCTGTTTCACTAATTGGAGCAGATTATGGGTCATACCCAACCAAATTCATTTGGAATCCTAATGTCCCACTAAAGTGGCCTTTCTTATGCGTTGCATTCTCTTATAAAAGACATACATCATTGACCATCTTTTATTCCAGGGAATCTGGTATATTTGAATAAGTAACTCATTCAAACTAGATATTGTAGCTATAAATTCTTTTATTTCAGGAACATGATGTTTCAACAGTCATTTTAGTTTTTAATATGTTTAAGCATAATTGGATGAATGAATTGGTTATCAAACAACTACATTTTAGTTCTGAGTAAGTTATTCTGACCTTTCATTAAGTGTTTCTATCTCACTTAGTGGTAACAACAACAATAATAATTTTTCCCATCTTAAATCATTCTGGCACATCAGTAACATATCCATGACAATATAACTTATGACACACAGATACATCTCAATACCAATGCTTTACTCCTTCAGATCAATCTCAGTATCTCACCATGCTGTATAGACTTAGACTTGCCAAATCTCTACTTTTTTGTAACTTAGAGGTGGAAGGGGATTCCAAAACAGTCATGGGATGGCTATGATACGGGGTTGTAGGTTTTTAGGAGCATCATGAGGGAGATAAGAAACTGGCAAAGGAGTTGAGAACATGCTACAAATTGATACCAAGGACTATAACTGATTGACAGATGGGTTAGCAAAACAAGGAGCCACTAAGGATCAATTGTTTTGGGGTTTGGTCCCTTAGGGGATCTGTAAGACAAACTGATGGGTGAAGGGGCTAAGCCAAATGATGGGGTGCTTCTGGTAGACAACTTTGCATACCTTTCTTTTAAACATATTAATAAAAAGTTTCACAGTTACTGATCAATAAAAATATCAATATTCTACTCCATTGGCACTAACATGAGAGGTAAACAAATTATAAGTTGCTTGTTTGGAACAATCTCTCCCAGTAACATCCTCTTTTTCTTTGTTAGGTTCATTTGTATTGCATATATGCTTGCCTTCATCATCATCACGCATGCCTTATCCCAACTATATGGGGTCGGCTACATGAATCCTGTTTCACCAATCTGTTCTATTCAACACCACATCCACTGTTGAATTATTAGTGCTTAAATCATTTCTTACTACTTCTACCATGTTCTTTTTGTCTACCCCAAGCTCTTCTAGCCCCTTCAATGTGTAAGCATATATGCCTTCCTTCCCTAAGTATTTTTCATAAGTTATTTTTCCACAAGGGAATGCCAGTATTTCCAGGAAAGAGGACCTCACTTTCCACAGTCACTGATTAGGAATTTAGGATAATAAATCACATTACCAACTTTGTGGGAGAAAGTTCCTGAGGACCAGCCCCTGAACCATGGACTCAAGATTCTAGATTGGAAGCAACACCAATGCAAGTATACAAGGACTAAGCACCAATGCATATGAAACCCCTCCTACCCAATAAAAATTGCATATTGAAAGCTGGTACTCAGCCCAGATAAACAAAACAAACATGCTTGTCTACACATTGAATCAAGTTCAAAAGCAATCCTTCAGGTATTGTCAATTTAGCAAAGGGTCTAAAAAAGAGTTTAATACCTTGCTGGTCTATGGTTCTCAAAGTCTTAGCCAATATCTGGTTCATTAAAACTTTGTTGTAATTCACCACAAGTTCCTTTTCTCTTTGCATGAATGTTATATCAGCATTATGAAGCTGCGCAGAATACTTCTTACGTATCTCTTCTATCTCCTTATCACATTGAAATTGAAGCTGTACTTTCTATCCACACAAGCAAAAATTCATATCGAGTAAGGGAAAAATGTTATTTGGGATAACTGTCATTTGAAACAAAACAAAACAATAGAGAGATCAGATGCAAACCATATCTTTGTGTATCTTGATGGTTTGCTCCTTCTCTTCATGTATTCTTTTCAGTTCCTCCTGAAGCAGGTCATGGTGAAAAGGCGGAGCCACTTGTGGAATCACAGGAACAGTTGATGGAGCACAACTACTGGATTCAGAAACGGTGACTACACTTATAGTATCCAAAATATGTACTTCACTTCCACCTGAAGGCACAGTTTGTTGACAGCTACTGGATTCTGGATGAGTGCCCATGCTTCTGGGATCTGAAACAGGTAACCCAATGCTTCCAACAGGTGTTCCTGTAAGGGATCCTGGTGATGAATCTGTAACAGGCTGGGCTACAGAATGGTTAGGTAGCTGAGCTAGGTCCTCAATTTGTAGTTGAGCCTGTTGGCAAGAAGTACCCCCTTCTTTACCTGGTTCACATCTTCCTGTAACTAAAGTTACATCAAGTTGATTGTGTTTAGAGGTTGGATCTGTAGAGGGAGACAGCTGCAATTGCATAGAAGGTGATGTAACCAAGATATTATGATTAGATTGATCAGGCCATGCAACATTATCCGGTTGTAGTGCTGGAACCTTGACTTGTTGAGGAGGATTCTTCCCATCAAAATATCCCAAGTCCTCAACTTGCACTGATGTTGAAATGGGTGGTCCAGGATGTTCAACAGAAAGCACCTGAGAACAAATTGAACCAAGTAAGATTCTGCAATCATCACTTCTCTTTCCTAAAAGTAACGTTTTGATGCAAAATGTGTGAGTAACTAACGCATACAAGTCATGAATACATACAAAACCATCCATACTTTAAATGGAGAAAAGGAATCTAATTATGATTTAGACAACTCTACCATAAAGGGAAAATTTTCTGTAAAATACTTTACCTGACTGGATGGTAACGTATTACCCTGAGCAGACATAACATGATCTGAAGATGTACCTATCTCGGTTAGCTCCAAGGGAGATATTTCTCCATTGTTGGGACTGCTTGCCATAGTATGCTGCTCAACTTCAGCAAGATCTATTCTGTCTGAGGCTACAGTACACATTCCACCATCCAATCTACTAGGCTGCAAGGAAGGATTTACTACTTCCATGGGAATGTTGCTCTCATCCACTTCTTCTGGAACCTCAGGTGGCAGCACTCCACCTGGCACTACTGGTATATTTAGCCCAATGGATTGCATTGAAGGAGTAAACGTTTCAACGGGGATGCTGAGCCTACCCACCTCATTTGAAGAAGTATCCAGAACTTCAAAAGGAACCACTCCACCTGACATTCCTGTTACATCCAGACCAATGGTTTGCATTGTAGAAGTAAATTTTTCCATGGGGATGCTGTCCCTGTGCACTTCATTTGGAACAGTTTCCAGACCTTTGGATAGAACCACTCCATCTGGAACTATTGATGCATCCATCCCACTGGATTGTGTTGTAAGGCTTAATGTTTTCATAGAGATTCTGCCCCTGTCTACATTATTTGCAATTTCTGATGGCACCGTTCCACCTGACATTGTTGAGGCATCCATTCTACTAGACAACTTTGCAGGATTTACTGTTCCCATGGAGCTGCAGACGTTATCCACCCCATCTGGAACAGATTCAAGAATTCGTGATGGTGCCCCTCCACCTACCACTGTTGGTACATTTCCATCAGGATACTGTTTTTCTAAAGAAGGGTCAGATATAGGAGCTCCTTTTTCACTGGCTTCCAGTTTTTCAAAGTTGAGCACAATATTTGGCAAAGGGAGCTTAGAAATTTCCTCCATTGGTCTCCCAGATTTTGCTTGCTCCAACCAATGAGCCGTCATTCGCTTCTCCTCATTCCTTGCAGCCAGAAGCAAATTCTCAAGATTTTTCTGTTGCAACTCCATATGATGACTGAATTGTTCCATTTTTCTAGAATGCTCTTGATCTAGTCTCTTCAATTTATCTAATCTAGTCACCAAATTGCTGTTAATGGTACGTGTAAGGACAGCTTCCACTTGGCACTGTTTTTCCAGCTCTGCCTTTTCCTTCTCCTTAATCTTATTGAATTTTTGAACTTCCTCCTGTTGCTTTTGGAGGAGCCTTTTTAATCTCTCAGCAAAAATATTTTCAACTAGTTCAACATTGTTGGAGAATTCATTTTTGATTAATCCATTGGCATTTTTGAAAGCATGCCCTTGTTTGAGAGAGACCTCTTGACCAAAGCAGTTATTACTCTCAGAACTCTCTCTGATATCTCCTTCCAACTGTTGCTGGGCAGAAGCTGCTGGTTGTGAATTCATCACAGGCAAAAGGCTTTCTGCAATATCTTTAGTTTTTGGTGTATCAATTCTTGTCAAATTAGATTTTTCAACATTTTCCGTATGACGAGAAAAAACTTTTTTCAACACCCGCAATTTTGAGTAGACATATTCTACTTCTTCCTCCTTGCAGTTAAAATTCAATAGTTGTTTCACACGTTCAAGTGAATCACTATGATCAATCTTGTACTTCAGCAAAGATGCTGCAGCCCAACACTGAAAGATGCACAATCCAAAAGTAAAGTGATACGTGGTATGTGTAGAAAAATTATAGAATTATTACACATAGAAACATAGGTACTAAGCCAAGATTGACTAGATTTAAGGTTTCTTTCCAATGCCCAAGTCAAGTCCATGAAACCACATTACAGAACATGACAAGTCGTAAGTAAATGGATGGCAGTCCAACAAGATAGACCATGGCTTATGATAACTGTAGCTTTTAACTTCTTAATAGAATAAGGCTTATAAAACTTATTCCATTAAAAATTTCCAGAAAATTAAAGACAGTTCAGTATGTCAGCGACCCTTCAATTAAGTTTAGCCTAAAAGCAAGTCACCCTTTCAAACACATTTAGCCTAAAAGTAATATATAACTAATGCAATAAGACTAATGAATTTGAGCTCTTAGGTGAATAAAACTACTAGTAATTTGCATGGCTCTTTCATATGGATAACAGTCGCTACTTAGTGGTCAGCCCACCCCAATTTATATGCTTATGCATTAAAAGAATGGAAATTACAATTTTTTTGAGAAAATTTAACCAGAAATTACAATTCTGCCCCCCCTGTAATAACATAAGGCAGCAAGATATATTTAAGTATTTCTATACAAGTTTTCAATATGACCAATGCAAGAAGCAGACTACCACTATAAAAGGGCCACTTCTATTCATGGGATGTCAGCAGCATGAGATGACAAGATTAATAAAATCCCTTTTCTTGAAAAGAAATAAAACATAGAACTTAAGGTTGATAAGAAGGAGATAAACAAACAAGTATGGGATTATGGATGAAGACCCATACAATTCTCAGGTAGGCCTTGTAGAGACGAGCCTGAATTTAGATTTAAGGTTCATGAATAAAGCCCAAACATAATCAAGTTCATTCGGATAAAAAGAGCCTAAAATGTGGGTTATGTTCACATGGGCCTTAGTTCAGCTCATTTCAATAAAAGTAACTACAATCTAGATTTTGTTTTTGACAGCTTATTCAGACATACACTTAAAATACTGCTTGACTTTTAAATTTTGGAACTATATATAGAAAAACAATACAAAAGAATAACAGAAATTCTAACCATACTCAATGTCTAAGTCTCTCTTGTCTGGGCATAGAACCCTAGCACTTCTATTTTGTCTCTCTTCTTTTCTCAATACTAATCAAGTTAGGTTTGACTGTTTTCTTGAAAGACAGACTTGCTTCCCTAGGTCTAGATTTCTTAGGAGGCTGTATTCAGTAGTTTGACTGTCATCCCTCTCAACCGATGAGCTTCACAGATTTTTTTGTTTTTTTGATGAATCGATGAGCTCCACAGATTCTGATTAGATGATTATTTTCTAGTAACAATAAAGAGTTGTTTTTTAAACAAAACAATCTTCGCCATAGAAATTTTAGGGAGATGGGATGTGGTAGATTTTCTTACAATCCCCCCCCCCTCGCCAAAAAAAAATATAGAAACAGAAAAAAAAAAAAAAAGACCTAGGATGACTAACAAACTTGGTACCATTTCTCAACTTCTACAAAACCAAGGAGCCCAAGTATAAAAATCGTGCATGGTTGGATCAAGCCAGGCATGAAACATTATAATCCTAGCTCAGGAATTAGGAGAAAGATTCTGACCCACCCCCAAAATATGTTAATTTCCTAGATACTGTTGAGAAATGTGCTTTATGCTTGCAGTGAAAAATGCCAATGGTGAGTACCCCTCAGAAATATGATGTCTGAGTCATGTGTCTCCAAATCATCCTGAATAGTGTACATACAACAATTCTTTATCACCCTGAACAGTGCATACATACAACAACTATTGGTTTCAATCAGTAGATGTTTCCAGAACTAAAATTGGAATAGTAGTGCAGAATAATACAGGAAGACTCTAACCAGGGATATCTCAAAAGCCTGTAATATGGTTGCCGGTTCTCTACTGACACGATGGTTGTTCATTATGTATTCAAGAAACCTTCCAGCCATGCCCTTGACATCCTCCTGCATCCAAGACAAGCATTGAAATCACATAATAGTCAAATCCAGGACTTTGCAATTTATCACTGGCATAAATGCTGCTAATAAATACCAGGGATAATCAATCATGGTATAATAATGATGATGATGATGATGATGGTGATAAAACATTACAGATCAACTTGAATAAGTTGGAAAAAGTTATGACATCAACTTAACATCCAATTACAAAAAAAGGACCTACAAATCCAAAGGTAAATTAAAGGTAAATTATGAAAAACAAAATCATCCTATTGTGGGCACAATTTCATGTGATGCAACCTTCATTCAACTAGCCAGCTTGCTCATCTGAACAATCTTTTTAAAAGCAATCACTACGGCCAAAATTTTGAACATAAATATCCACTCTAAAAGACCTATTTCTGGTTGGAAAGATCTTGAAAAGTCCTACAACAGATATTTCCATACTTTTCAAGATTTTCTAATAAATGGCCTCATAAAGATCTCAAAGACAAGTTAAGAGAATAGTAATAGAGTGAGTAATAACTAGGTCATCATTAAGTTCATCTTAAGCAATGAAATATGGATATCTGGCTTTGGTCTTTTTTTCCTTGCCACTAAATTTCCTCCTTGAGAACAATGTCATTTCTGACTCACAGTTGCAAGAACTCAGGGTGGAAGCTTTCACTAGGGCAAGATTACATCGTTAAGACAGTTGCCATGGAAAGTTTTGGGGGTCCCAGAACTGAAGTTTTCATGTGATTGATGTTTTTTATGTGCAGTCATTAATTGGGTCATAAGGATCTAAGGGTCCTGAATAGATGCGTCATTTGACATGTTATATGGATACATTAAAATGGGCAACAAACCCATTCCAAACACATGAAAACCAACATTAGCATGACATTTGAGGGGACTCTTCTCTTTGTTACATCTGTAATATAAAGAACCTCAAACTCTTATGGTTATATTTTTATACTCAATATGCTTGGTTAATGTTGTTTGCATTGATTTATGCAGCTATTTTTTTAACAATTGTCCCATTATTTATATAACAGAAAAATATATCATCAACAAAAGTAACTTCAGACTTGGTGCCCAAGTCCTTGAATCTTTTCTTTTCCCTTGCCAAGTCTGACACCTCATACCTGTGTCAGATTCCAACACTTTTACTAGTAACCATGTAACATAGATCACGTGCAGACCTTAGGAGTCTGAGACCTTTTCCTTGCTTTTTATTTATTTTTACGGCACCCTTATGGGAGGGTGGAAACAGCCTCGTACACTGGGTTGCCCTTTGTGACACCCTTTATGGGATCAAGATGTCATTAGCTTGTTGTTGCAGGATGTAGTGTTACCTTTTTGTGGAATTTTGTGCTTTAAACTGTTTGCAGAAGCAGTTTGAAGGAATGGAATAGAAAGATGTCTGAAGGCAAAATTTTTCTTTTCATTTTTGTGCAGAAGGCAGCAGCCTTCTTATTGACTAGGTATTGACTTGGAAAGATTTTGTGGGTACAAAAAGCAATTCAATGTAAAACTTTAGGGGCAGACAGACCCTTTAGTAATCTATATACCAGTACTTTAAGCTGTGTTTGGTTTGAAGGAAAAGGTAGGGAAACCTGGTACACTTTTCCCTACCATTTCTTTCAAACCAAACACAACCTTAAAGAAAACCTTTTGAATTTGGATATCAAGAGGGGAAGTGAAACACTATTAGAATGGACTATTGATGCAAAGTCTGGAACAAAAGAAATAATAATTCATCAGCAAACAAACTGATAGATACAACCTGGGACAAAACAAGAAACATAGATTTCTTTAAGGAAAAACATGATCTAGGAAACAACTTGAAATCCATCAGGAAACTATCCAGGGAAGAAGAAAGGCTTTCGCTAGGGAGATGATATGAAAATTGATGAAGAGGGAAAACAACAAAAAGTATAATAATTGGAATAATAGGGAAAGGAAAAGAAGGAAAAGTAAGAGAATGATCATGGACAAATGAGAGCAATAGCAATAATAGGTAAAAAAATACTTCTATACTACTACTACCACTATTACTTCTACTTCTGTTTTTAAAAATAAACTTCATGCAAAGAAAATGGAAGAAACAAGAAGAACAACTTTCTAATGATTTTGATGAAAGAGGAAAATTTTGACACAAAATTAAACAATTAAATCTGCCCAGATATCAATAGATAAAGTTATAAGTGACAATCGACCTCAATATGCTTGGTTCTCTCAGGGAAGACTAGATGTGAATAGCTGCTTGATTATCACAGTATAGTCTCATGGGTTTGTCAACTGAGAACCCCATCTCTTGTAGCAAGTTCTTCAACCATACTAGTTCACATGTGGTATGAGCCATAGCCCTGTACTCAGCTTTTGCACTACTCCTTGCCACCACTACTTGTTTCTTACTCTTCCAAGTTACAGGATTGCCACCAAGGAAGGTACAATACCCTGTAGTTGATCTCTTGTCTGATACAGAACCAGCCCAATCAGCATCTGTATACCCTACTATCTAAAGAGTCCCTCCACTTTTGTATAGCAAACCACGACCTGGAGCACCCTTCAGGTACCTAACAATCCTTAGAACTGCTTCCCAATGAGGAATCCGAGGATGTTGCATAAACTGACTCACCATACTCACAGCAAATGATATATCTAGCCAGGTAATAGTCAGATAATTCAACTTTCCCACCAACCTCCTATATCTTCCAAAAGATCATCAAAATCTTCACCTGCATCAACACTCAACTTGACATTCAGTTCCATAGGAATCTCGGATGGTTTAGCACCTAACAGTCCTATTTCTTCAAGTAGGTCAAGAACATATTTTCTTTGACATAAGTTAATTTCATGTCTTAACCTTGCAACTTCTATTCCTAGAAAGTACTTCAGCTTACCCAAATCTTTCGTATTGAAGTAGTCCTGTAGGAATTTCTTCAACCTGTCAATCCCATTACTATCACTCCCAGTTATGACAATATCATCCACATACACCACTAGCAAGATTTTCCCATCTTTTGAGTCATGGTTGAACATAGAATGGTCTACCTGACATTGTTTCATCCCAAAGTTTTTCACTACTTCACTGAACCTGCTAAACCATGCGCGTGGAGATTGTTTTAGTCCATAAATTGCCTTTTTGAGTCTACAAACCTTACCATCCTCCCCCTGAGCAACAAACCTTGGTGATTGCTCCATATACACCTCCTCAATGAGATCACCATGCAAGAAGGCATTTTTTATGTCAAGTTGCAAAAGAGGCTAATCATACATAGCAGCTAATGATATCAACACCCGAACTGAGCCAATTTTAGCCACAGGAGAAAATGTCTCCATATAGTCCACACCATACAACTGAGAATAGCCCTTGGCCACTAACTTGGCCTTCAATCGTTACACACTGCCATCTGGAAGATACTTCACTGTGTAGACCCACTTACACCCAACACCATGCTTACCAAGAGGAAGAGCAGTGAGTTCCCACGTGTGATTGTGTTGTAGGGTAGATAGTTCCTCTTCCAGTGCTAGTCGTCACCCTAAGGAGGTAAGGGCTTCCTAGACAGTCTTGGGAATGGAAACAGATGATGGCAATGATATAAAGTTGTGATGAGAAGCAGAAAGGTGAGCAGATGAAACATAGTGTGAAATAGGATGAGAAGTACAAGTACGTTTACCTTTCCGTAGGGCAATAGGAAGATCAAGGTCCAAGGAAGAAGATGCAACCACAGGATCTGTGGACGAAGGCTAAATTGGAGGAGGGGCCGGTGCTCTTCTGTGAGTATACACTTGTCTAATTGGTGGCCTCTCAGTAGTAACTGGCACAGGAGAGGAATCTGCAACTGGAATGAGAACCACTGGAATGGGATCCTCAACAGGGACATGAAGTGGAACAACGGGGGAAGGAAAAGGAACCACAGTGTCTGAGAACAAAGGAACCGATTCAAAGAAGGTAACATCGGAGCACACAAATGACTTATGGAAGTTAGGGTCATAGCACTTATACCCTTTCTGAGTCCTGGAGTATCCAAGGAAGATACACTTAGTAGCTCATGCATCTAACTTGTCTAAACCAGGCCCCAAATTTTGAACAAAACAAACACACCCAAAGACTCTCGGGGTGAGAGGAAACGGAGACAAGGTGGGAAACAACACTGAGAAGGGGGATTAACTTCCAAGGATGGACATGGGCATCCGATTGATGAGAAAACATGATGTGAGGACAGCATCACTCCAAAAACGCTTTGGGACATTTATATTAAGCATCATAGACCGAGCAGTTTCAAGGAGATGTCGATTTTTCCGTTCAGCTACATCATTCTGTTATGGGGTGTAGGAACAAGAAGCTTGATGAATTATCCCATGGTGCTCTAAGTATTGCTGAAATAGTGTTGAGGTGTACTCTTTTGCATTATCGGAGCAAAGAATTTTAATATGAACTCCAAATTGGGTACGTATTTCAGGATAAAATTTTTGAAAAATAGAGAACAATTCACTGTGATCCTTCATAAGATAAATCCATGTCATCCTTGAAAATTCATCAACAAAAAGTACAAAATACTTATAACCATTGTATGACATTACTTTAACTGGACCCCAAACATCGAATGAACTAAAGAAAAGGGACTCAAGACACGACTATCAACTCTCGGACTAAAAGAGACTCTATGATGTTTCCCAAGCTGACACGACTCACAATCCAACGATGAAAGATGACTTAAGGAAGGAACCAACAACTTCAAAGCCTTGAGAGAAGGATGACCAAGTCTGCAGTGCCATTGAAGAGGAGTCAGAGACGACTGAAATGCTACTAGAGGGCCACTACCATCAAGGTAATACAATCAACCTGCCTCATGCCCTCCACCAATCTTCATCCCTATCTTAAGATCCTGAAACACACAAGAAGAGGGATAAAAGGTTATGGAACAATTAAGTGACTTGGTTAATCTACTAACAGACATAAGGTTAAAAGGGAACTTGGGAAGATATAAAACAGATGATAAAGATGAGGAGAGATCAACTTCACCAACACCACAAATGGGAGATGTAGAACCATTAGCAAGAGTAACTGTTTGAGATCTGGAGGACCAAGAAAGTGAAGAAAATACATTTGGAGTCCCAAACATATGGTCCGAGGCCCCAGAGTCAATGATCCAATGTGAAGGCTTGGAAGCCAAGCAAGCCATACCTAAATGGGCAAGGATAGTTGTGTTCTGCTGAGAAAATGTCTAAAGGACCAGTTGATGTGGGGGGGATCGGGTTAGTTTGCTAACTTTCACTAGCTGTACCACTGCCCCTAAAGGTATTTCTGTAAAATCATTTTCAAACAAAAGACCTTGGAACATTAAAGTATTTCTTGGGAATAGAAGTTGCCAGATCAAAACAAGGTATAAATCTGTGCCAAAGAAAATATGTTATTGATCTACTGGAAGAAACAGGACTGTTAGGTGCAAAACCGGCT